CACTCAAGGCTTTTGTACATGCTGTTCTCTATGCTTGAAATGCCCTTCCCCACCTATCAAACTCTTACCCATCCTTCAAGGCCCTGCCAAAAGCCACCACCTCTATGAAGCCTTCAGCAATTCCACAGTATTTTAAGCAAATGTATTATTGCAAGATTATATCATCCTTTTGTGTGTTAAGATTCCACCAAAGAAACAAAACTGGTAGGAGATATATTAAGACATTTATTGTAAGAAATTGGCTTATGCAGTTGTGGGGACTGGTTAAGCAAGTCCAAAATCTATAGGGCAGACCATCAGAGTAAGACATGCTAAAACTCTGGCATAAGCTGAAGCTGCAGTCCACAGGCAGAATATCTATTTTCTAGGGCAGTATCAGTTCAGCTCTTGAGGACTTTAACTGATTGAATCAGGCCCACCTAAATAATCTCCTTTCTTAAAGTCAATTGATTGCAAATGTTAATCACATCTACAAAATACCTTCATGGCAACATCTAGATCAGTGTTTAATTGAGTAACTGAGGATTAAAGCCTAGCCAAGTTGAGTATCAAACCAACCCTGTCTATTAGTTTCCAAGGACTGCCATAACAAAGTACCACAAACTAAGGTGGCTAAAAACAACAGAAATTGACACCCTCACAGTTCTGGAGGCTAAAAGCCCAGACTTAGTCTCATTAGCAGGGACATGCGCTCCCTGAAGGCTCCAGGGGGAGAATCTGTTCCACATCTTTCTCTTAGTTTCTGGTGTTGCCAACAATCCCTGGCACTCCTTGGCTTGTAGATGCATCCCACCAATCTCTGCCTCCATGGTCACAGGACATTCTTCTGGTCTGTTTGTCTCTGTGTGCTTTCTACTCTTTTTCTAAGGGCACTGGTCATTGGATTTGGGCCCACTCTAATGACCTCAACGTGATTACATCTGTAAAGACTTTATTCCCAAATAAGGTCACATTCATAGGTATCAAGGATTAGACTTCATATCTTTGGCAGGGGTGCGGGACACAATTCAATCCACAGCACCATCATACTTTGTTCCAGCCCTTGCTACTTTGGATTGTGTTTCATTCACGCACTGGCCTTGTAACAAAGAGACTGTAAAGGACTAAGAGTATGAGCTGTAGTCACTTTATGATCCCAGAAGTTGGTTCAGTGTCAGACACACGGTAAGTGCTCAGTTCATAGCTCGCTCTATGTCTCACACTCGCTTTCAAAGGCACCTGTTTGAACTCACTGGGGAGGTATCTGATGGAGGGCATAGCCTGGTTAAGTATAGAGAGAAGTTATTCCCAAAATGTAACAAAAATGAATTCTTCAGATCTTCTTGCTGGAAGGGCCTCAGCAACTCACTCAGTCTGGGAGTTTTCAAAATTTGCTCCCAGGAACCCCAGGGGACCACCCGGAAAAGTAAAAAAGGAAGCTGACTTGGTGGGGCTCCAGTTCTTCTCCCTGGACCAGAGTACTGACACTTTTATTTGCTTAATACTTTGAGTTTCCTTATTACATTGCAGCACCCTCCTCCCTAACTGGAAACAAGGCCAAAGGAGGTGTGTTGTCCAGGCCCACAGTTGGTCAGTAGCAGAACAGGAAATAGAACAGAATAAAAAGGTGTGGCAGAAACTGCTGGAGGTCAGCTAATATTCAATCTCCTCTTTCTCCCTAACAAGAGAGACTCTTTTTTTCAATTTGTTTGTTTCTCTGGGCCCATGGTCTTCCTAAATAAAGACTAGATTTCCCAGCATCCCTTGCAGCTAGTCATGGCCACTGACTAAGTGTGCCACTGATGGGCTATAAGTGGCAGTGTCATGTGGGGCTTCGGAGTAATGTCTTTAAAGGAAACTTCCTTACCTTTTCTTCTTCTTGCTGGCTGGACTGTGGCTATGAAGTCTGGAGCTCAAGCAACCACCTCGGGTCATGCACTGAGGATGGTGAAATAACATGGCAGAAGGAGCCCAATTCCCTACCCTGGGGACACTGAACCAGTCCTGATGGCCTCCTTCTAGGCTTCGTTTATGCGAGAGAGAAATGAACTTCTGTCTTGTTTAAGCCACTGTTCCTATGGGTTTTCTGTCCTATGCAGTCAAGTCTAATTAATCCTCAGTGACATAGAGGATTAATTGTAAGAGAATGCTCCCCAATCTGACTCTGAAAGCATGGTGATTTTAAAACCAGGCTGAAAATTCTCTGATACTCCCTCCCCTTGAATCGAGGTAGACTTAAACTGCTTCAGCCAACAGAATAATGTAGAAGTGAAGCTCTATGACTTCTCAGGCTGGATATAAAAGACCATGAAGCTTTTACCTTGTTCATGGGATCACTGCTCTTGGAGCCTTGAGCTTCCAGGGAAGAAATCCAACTATCCTGATGCCATCAAGCTGGAGAGGCCACAGGTAGACAGTCAACAGTGCCAGCTGTGCCCAACCTTCAGCCAGCCCAGACAGCCCAGGCATCAGACAGGTGAGTGAAGTCATCTTGGAAGTGGCTCCTCCCAAGCCATTGTCATCTCAGCTGTGGCCCTAGGCACTACGGAACAGAGAGGAGAGGTGCCCTCTTCAAATTCCCAACCCACAGGATCCATCAACATAATAAGATGGCTGTTGTTTTACACTGTGAAGCTTTGGGATGGTTTGTAACTCAGCAATAGATAACTGGAACAAATGGATGATTTTAATCAACATATTTCAACAGGAAATATTTACTGAGCATCTACTATGTGCTGGGCACCATGCTAGAGACTAGGCACACACAATGAGCATATGTCAATGATAAACAAACGTGGGTACTAAGTTTAAGTGGTAAGGATTGGTTTGAATCAGTAACATACTATTGCTATAGGGAAGAGGGTCCAGCATGAACTGATTCAACTTTGATTTGCACAGAAGTGACTGGAATTCTAAGCAGAGTCGAGGAAGTGAAAAATTACGAAGGATTGGTGAGCATAAATGCTGACGAGCCCAGCCACCTCTGTTGGCTGGCAACCATCGAAGTTAGGATTCCATCCTCTCACTGAGACATGCCCTATCCTTCCTGATGACTACGTTTTAAAGGAATGGCTTTCAGGTCCTTGAGAAAGACACTCCTGAACTATAGGAGATACATATACATCTCAAAGGGTCAGAGGAAGGATTCAGAATTGTAAGCCCTTTGTAATAAATGCTCTAAGAAGGGTGGTCAGGGGCCTCTGGTTAGGTATTGGACAGAACAAACAGTAAATTCTTTGGGTAGCCTGAGCTTTCTCCGGCAGGCACTCAAGGGGGGCCTAGGGTCATAGTCTTAGAAACTATGTTAGTGTTTAAGTCTTTTAATATGAGGGGAGGTTGGTGGATGAGATCATTGTGTTTTTATAGGTCAAGGTTGGGCCCTGGTCAAGAGGAGGGTTCAGAGGAACCTGTCTAGAGCTTGGCCAAGGAGAGAATCTTTGTCATAAGACAGATATTTTTGACATCATGGTGCTAAAAGTGTAGTGGAATGG